TCCGGGACTTAGACCAAAATTTTTATATTATGACCCTTATTAAATGAATGCTTTAAAATAATTTCTAACTTATATGACACACAAAGTATGTTTATGAATACACGAATATGATGACTAAAGAATGTCATAAAATGCCTATATGCCTATGATAATGGATTTTTATATGTACAAGGACCCAAATGATAAAAATATCATCCATGAATGTGTATGCAAGGAATGTAGTGCTCTGTTGAAGGATGGTGTTATGTGAGATGCAATGCATGTGTTGTGATGGTTTAATGAGAAAGATACTGACTTAAGATATGTAATGAGACAAAATGCTTATATTATTTATTAAGACGTGTACGGGATGCATGTGTATGAAATGGAATGCATGTGTATGAAATGGAATGCATGTACTATTTATTGATATGAATGGGATAAAATACACATGTTATCTTATTAAGATGTATAAAAATGAGAAAGATCAAACAACATTTGGAAAAGAAAGAAAAAAAAATTTTGAGAAGGAAAAACACTTTTTTTTACACGGAATAACTAGAACTTGAAAATTAATTTTTATTTGACCAACAAACAAAGAATTTAGGAAAAACCTTTACTTTTTTTGAAAAATTAATTTTTTTATGCTTATTGGATAATGTTAAAAAATTTCATTTTGTTCAAAAAAATGCAAATGAATGATCTACATGTCAAAAGAGAAATTTTTTTCTTTTTTTTAAAGAAAATACTTTTCTCTTATTTTTACAAAAAGACAATGCTCTTTCAAAGGCTAGTCCTATAAGATTCACTATATGCTGAGTAAGGATTTATTCCTCTAAAGGTTCCCAAATTGTTCATCACTGGCATCTACACTAGACTAGTAAGGCACTTCATCCTCACCCATTATAGGCTACGAACGAAAAGGGTTCAATTTGAGTAAAAGTATTTCACTTGCTATTACGGAGGCTATCACCTTATGAGAACATAAGTACTTTACTTCTTCCTATGAGGGATAGAGCTTGGGTATAGACCTTATGCATAAAGTGCAATGTGTTATTGTATGTGCAAATGTCTCCTAATTTATAGAAAAATAAAATAGGAAATGAACAAAAGGCAAAAATGCGAGCAAATTTTTTTGTTTGTTTTTTATTTTTTTAAAAATAAAATCAAAATCTAGGAAATTAAAATTAAATACCGATTAAGACTATTTAAATCAAATTTTACGTATAAAACATAGTTAATTTTAGCTTGACTTTCAAAAACAAATGGCCTCCCAAGCGGAGTTACCAAGTTGTTGTAATGGTTTTGGAGTCGTCCGATGAATTTGGAAACAAAAATGAATAAAAAAAAAAATGGAGTCACCATTAATCTTTTGTTGGCTAGGTATGATTGGTCACCTATTAAAATATATCCTCTTAATGAAATTTTAAAATTAATTAAAATTATTAAAAAGATTAGCACCCCCATAACACCCGTTTAAAATGATACTAGTTAATTACATGTTATCCATTAATCCTGAAAAAAAAAAAAACAATCTAAGTTTCAATATTTAAAAAGTAGTTTTCTTGACTGCTTTTGTTTATCGAAGTTTTGGTTTTTCTATTATTATTATTACTTTTTTTTGTTATTACGTTTTATTCAAGAAAAATAAATTGGAACTTTTTTATTGAAGTAATTTTTAAAATGTTTCAATACATTGGTAACATTAAAAAAACTTTTTCTCATCTACAGATTTCTTAGGCATCACTTCTCAAAATACCTTAGAATCTTATCCCTGGAAGCTCGGATTTACTTTTCATAAAAAAATATATATATGTTGTGCATGCAATGCAAATGATAATATATTATTGCACACATTTCATTTTCTTTTTTAGAAATTTTATTACCTTTTTTATTTAAAATTTTGAAAAAAATAGGAATTTTATCATATTAAAGATTTTCTATAAATATTTCAATACACTGATAATATTTTTCAAAAAATCTTCTCATCTAGAGATTTCATAAAGTATCACTGCTTGAAATACTTTTAGAATATTGTCATCAAATAAATTTTTTTTTCTTTTTTTTATCACTTATTTTATAAGGTATATTTTAAAATTAACAAAATTATCAAAAATTTTAACTATTTATTTCATTGTTTATTTTCATTTATTTTTATTAATAATTATTATAAAATAAAAAATATTTATTCTAAAAAATTTAAACATTTTAATATGCATAAATATTAATAATAAATTTTAAAATAACAAAAATAATATAAAAAATTCAAAAAAAATATTTTTACCTGAATCAGACCATCAATGTTGGTCTAGCAATTTAGTGATTAAACATCAATCCAATCTAGTTTGGGTCGGTTCAACTAGACCAATCAAATGCTAAGGGATGTCGGGTCGAGTGTACAGACCTCGAGTCAAGTCAGGGTTGACGCGCAAATCTGAGGCTCAAAACAACATCATTTTGCTTTTTCGTAAACGTTGTCTTTTCTTTTCTTTTTTTTTTTTATAAAATCCCCTAAATTTTTTTGTTCATTTTTCTCTTCTCCCTCTCTCTTTACCTCCTCTTTCTCTCTTAGACCCTCTTTTTTTACCCCAATCGAACAATCGTCATTTGTCGCGCCAACTGCCGTTAGTGGTCATCGATAGTCATGCCCCTTCATAAAAAAATCTCAAAAACTCTCAAAAAATTTCTCTTGACCCCCTAAACACAATCTGAACCTAGTTTCACCCGAATCTTGCTGAAATGCCTTAGATCAAACTTAGAGGTTTGATCAAATCTTTTTTTATATTTTTTTATAAAAGCTAAACTGATTTTTTTTTTTATTTTTGCAAGGGGTTTTGGCGCTAGGTTCCTCGCCAAGCTATGTTTCTAATTTTTTTTGTTTATGTTTTTTTTTTTTTTTTTTGGTAGTGAGTTTGTCTAAAATATTTTCTAGCAAAAATTTTTTTGTGGTTTTTCTAATGGGCTATCTGGGGCTAGGTTTTGGGTAAGTCTTCGCTAGGGTTCTAGGATTGGCACAAAAGAGAGGCTAAGCTGTGTTTTCTTGGTTTTGGTGTGTAATGGGTAGCTTGGTCCCCCTTTGGTCTTTTTCTGGTTATTGGTTTTATAGGATCGATTAGGGCATATGGTGACTGTTGAAGATTCAGGGGGTGTAGATGGGGCTACAGTAGAATGGTTTTGCAAAGGAGTTGGTGGCTAATGCTCTGGTGAACAGGAGGTTTGTAGTGGTGCCATACACGACACCCACTAGCACCAACCCCCTTGTTTTTTACTTTTTTTTGTTTTTTCTATTTTTGTATTTTTTGTTTAATTAATTAATTATTATTAATATCTTATTAATATTTTATTTTAATACTAAATTCTAAAATCAAAATAAAAGTGAAAATAAAATGAAGAATGAAACAAAAATAATGGACTCGAGTCTGATTTTAGAATCGAGACCCAACTTAAAGACCTAGACAAATTTGGTGTTTATAGATTGTGTAAGTTTTTTTCTTTTTTTCATATGGTCATAGTATATTACAAATGTAATAGAAAAGCATAAGAAAATTAATAATAGATTTTATATTTTATGATGGAATGTAAAAAGAAATAGTGATAGAACTACTGATAATATTTCAAATGGATGACAAAAAGTTATGATTGATTTAGTGATAGTATATAAAAATTATGATAAAATATTTTGATAGATTTAATATTGTGACATAATACTATAATAAAATAATGTGATAATTTTTAAATTTTAATATTTTTAAAAAACTATAAAATTTCTAAAAAATTAAAAATATTTTTTGTATTAGAAGGATTAAATTTCAAATTTCGTATGAGTATAGGAATTAAATTTTAAATTTCGTATGAACATATAGACCATTTGATTAATTTAACAAATTATTTCATCCATTTTAATTATCACATCACATCAGCAAATCAACGCTATGTTGGCAATGTTAATACGACATCATCAAGTCATGATTACATTAACATTTTTAATGACAAAAAAATTAACAAAATTAATGATTAGATTATAATTATCAAATCAAAATTATATAATAACTGAATTTATATAAATTATAATACAATAACTAAATATGAAATTTTCACAAAATACAAAAACCTTGGACATAATTTGACCTTAAAATTATGATAAGCCCCTGGTTTTACATAAGGATTTAGAAACATGAGACCAACCGAAACCATGTTAAACTATGTCATTTTCCGTTTATATAATTTCTCTTTTTTTCTTTTTATGAACTGCTAATTTTTTTAGTCAAACTAATCTTACTTTATTGATCCAAAAGAACAAGCACAGTCAGAGAAGGCAGCTACCAGCCAAAGAATAAAAAAACAAAAGAACAAGACCAACCGGAACCATGTCAAACTATGTCATTTTCCTTATTTATACAATTTCTCTCTTTTTTTTTTTTATGAACTGTTAATTTTTTTGAGTCAAACTAATCATACTTTGTTGATCTAAAAGAACAAGCACGGTCAGAGAAGGCTGCTAACAGCCAAAGAATAAAATCTGGAAAAAAATAATAATAAGAACAAAGCCAACCGGAACCATGTCAAACTATGTCATTTTCCTCAGTTTATATAATTTCTATTTTTTTTATGAACTGTTAATTTTATGTCATTTTCCTTAGTTTATATAATTTCTTTTTTTTTAATGAACCGTAAATTTTTTGTGTCAAACTAACCGGACTTTATTGATCTAAAAGAACAAGCACAGTCAGAGAAGCAGCTAACAGCCAAGAAAAAAAAAACAACAATCTGGAAAAAAAAAATTAAGAACACCAGATAAATCAGAAACAACAAAACAACAACAGTAACTAGAAAATCCAGTACAACAACAGTAAGAATATTGACAGAAATTCCCCAACCACAACATAAAGAATTTGTCCTATGCATCTGATCAAAGAAAGAAAAGGCCTCTAAAAGATTTCTTCAAAGACAAATCAACGACAGAAGCAATGTACATGGACAAATAGGGAACACATTATATATATATATACACTCAACTTTATTTTGTTTAAGTAAAAAATACGTCACATGCAGGAAATCTCTGGAGGTAAAAGAATTATTCTGTGGTTAAGTTATTTTTTTAATCTTAATTATATTTTACGTGACCTGTTACAGAACAGTCATGTTAAAGCAATGGGTTGCTTTCGAAAAAGTTTGCAGGCCGGAGCTCGAAACCACCGTGAAAGGTTGGCATCACTGGGAAATCTTCCTGATATGGAATGTGATGGAAGCCTACGGTATACCATAGAACGATATCTTTGTTTTCAATCATTCTGTTCCTGCGAGAACATACCATATATATTGAGAAATGCTCATGTTACAAACATGTTTTAACCTTGTTTCTCCAAAAAAAAAAAAAAAGACTAAATGGGATCCTTGATTGCTAAGCAAACACCCGTCAGCCAAAAGATCCCATGGAAGCCTTTTTATACAAGAACAAAGACCCGCACTTCACTTCACCAAAATAATTTAGATGTAAGTTTTTAAATGAGCAAAGCAATTTAAAATATATATATACATATCTTTGTGTTATTACATATATCGCTTGAAAACGCTTTACCATCATAAAAAAATAATTTCAATATCTTTAAAAATATAGACATAAAAGAAAATTTCATTACATTACATTTTATCAAACCACTTTATAAAATCAATATATATAACTCAACTATAAACCTATGAAGCAAAATCCAAAATTAAATAAATAAATAAATTTAATATTAAATTATGATTTGGGGAAAAATAACTCTACATATCCTCACAAAAAAAACTCCCCCCTCAATCCCTAACTTTAATTTCATTATATTTAAAAGGAAAAGTCATTTCATTTTTTCCAGCCACTTTATAAAATCAATATATATAATTCATCTATAAACCTATGAATAAAAATCCAAAATTAAACAAATAAAACCAACATTAAATTAAGCTTGACTAAAATAACTCTACATATTTGAAGGTAAAAAACTCTAAGTTAAATCATTAAGTTTGAATTCAATGCATAAAATACCCTTTTTCACCTCAAATTTATTCCAAAAACACAGTATAGCCTAAACCTCTGCACTACATCAATATAATTTTTTAGATTAATATCATTTATAGATAAATTTAATGGGAGACTTCCATAAACTAATTGATTCTTTAAAAAAGAACATGTCCAAAGAAATCATTTCTCAAATCGTAAAAATGTGTTACCTCTTGCTCCATACGGCTAAGCCATCATCTCCATGGCTTCTATCAGCATAAAACCCACCAGCCCATCTCTCTGACTTATTATAGGCAGTCACCCAAACTTGGTATTTGGTATAAGCTGCCCTTATTTGAGGATAATCGTCATCTGCCAATAGAGAAATCACCGGCTGTCCAGGTATTAACCGGTAACCCACTTCGTTTCCCAGCTTTGTTTTCTCATTTGGATTCACAATCAACAAGTCAGCCGGCTCTAAGCCAAGCCGGATACGGGCATCTGCTTCCTTTTTGGCGGTTTCCTTAACGACCTTCCAGTAACTTTTTCTGGGTGAAGCATTAAAGTCCGTTACTCTTGCCGTTTGTAGTTTGGCCTTGACAAAGGAGTTGCGGTTACCATCAACGTCAAGATCCAGGTAATATGTGAGGAAATGGTCGTGATTAACGGCGACGGTGTTGTCCGCTACTAACGTGCCATAAACGTTCGCCGTTATCTGGTCGTTATTTGTGTAAGGACTGCCTTTGATCAAAAGAATTCCGGTTAAATCCACCTGAGAAGCAAAACCCATATACATATATATATATATATATATATGATTAATTGTGTGCAACTCTTATTGGCCAAATAAAGTTCGGTTAAAAAGTTGATGGATGAGGAATAAATCTGCTCCAGATAAGTACTTTCTTTTTATTAATACGTTAATATCATCAGATTTATTAATAATATATCAAATACAAACTCTTTTAAAATAAAATTTTAACTACAGTTAAGTGGAATTACAAAGCAATAAACATTTAAAGCTGTTAAAAGCGTTAATCACGCACAAGAGCAGTTAAAAGCATTAATCACGCACAAGGGTTGAATTCTTACCCCAACTTTAATGGTGCCACTTTTCTTGAACTCCCAGTCCAGTACGTAATCATAATTTCCCACGGTAGCCACCATTCTAACAACCAAACTTTTTTCCGCCTGCCCACTCCTTATCTACCAGAAAATGACAAGTGAATTCAAAACATAATTAACCCAAAAAAAGATACCGATTAATCCCAAAATCAGTAGTAAAAATCCATTTGTAACCTTATTAACACCGGTAGACTACCTTACCACTTTTCCAGGATTATTGATTTCAGCATGTCTCCAGGCAATATCACCAGAATACCTTTCAAATATACAGATAACCCTTTGCATTTTCTGTGCCTCTCCATCTGCCCCTGCCCAATACCCGTCTAAATACATGGCATTCTCTGGACAATCAATCAATGGCTGGAGACTGCTGGCAGATCGTCCGAACCCGAATTCTCCAATATCCATGAAAGTCCTGAAATACCATTCACTTTCAGGATCCATATATGGGACAAAGGTTTCAGACACATGACCTCTGTATAGAACCTGGCGGAACTTTTTTGTTTTTCCGTCGAAAATAGAAGCTGTTGATACTACAATTCCTGTCCGAGCATCAAATCCGACGTGGAATTTCCAGTTACCCCAGTTGACTTTGTTTCCTTCCATTTTGAACCCTTTTTCTGTCAGGTTACAGGTGACAAAATAAGCCTTCTGGTTTGATCGAAAATCAGTTCCTTCTGCTTTAGGCAAAGGGACTCTGAATCTATCAATGTACATTGTGATTTGCATTGAATCAACATCAACAAAAATACTAATTCCTTCAATGGGCCTTGCGTAGACATTAACCGACCCTCCTCTGTAGTAACATGTAACTCTAAGAGCTCGTTTTGTGACCTTTTCCCCATACCAACCAACAGTGAGAGGTACACAAGAAACTTCGGACAAATTTAAACCCCTTTTCAGAATTGAATTCTTGAACTTGGAGTATTGCAGAGGCAATTTGCTAGCCTGGAAAAACTCATTAAAAGTGAAAGGAGGATAACCATGACCAGTGTAGACATGGTTCGATTTGATTGAACCAGAGACCAGGTTTACAACAAGTTCCCGAGTCTCACCTCCCGCTCGAACAACCACCTTGGCTTGTCGAGAAAGAGCATTCCTGTTTTGCTTGTTTGAATGTAACCAATTAAGAACATCTTTTTTATCTGGTTCTTCGAGATCCACGAAGTGAAATGTCAGGTTAGGAAGAGAACCAAGCTTAGACTTACCAACTATAAGCTTTACCTGGTTGATTTCAGCTGGGGTGAGAGGATCTAAGGGATGATAAAGGCTAAGATTTATGCAACATTGTAGCAGAAAAGCTAGAACAAACATTGGAATAGTCATGGATTCCAATTTGTTATGTCCAAACAAAAAAGTTGACCAGCAGGTTGTTATGCTTTAAGACAACTCACTGTTTATATGTTTATTAATATTTATTATGTCGATCACGTCCCTTGCAAGATGAACATTGTATATAATATTTTAAAGGCATTAAATAGTTTTTAATGCTTTATTAAATCTTCCTTTCTAAGCGGACCTTGCGCATTGCTGAAATTTTTCTAGGTCCCTTACTTGCACCAAAAGCAAGAATTAATAATTGACTTGCTTTGCTTTTAGATGTGAAAACAGGGGGATATGAAATCCTTGAAGACTTCAACATGCTGTCTTTTTTATAACTATATATATGTATATCTAGGAGAGTGAAACACATGCTTTATAAGTTCTAGAAGTTGCTCATCAAGATAATAGTGGAAAAGATAATGAAGTTGCTAAAGGAAGGGATAATTATATATTTTTTTAATTTTAAATGTTTGCGTGTTTTCTGAAAAATTTTTATTTCAATCCTAAACACTACAAAAATATGATACCATTGACCTAGCGTGAACTATGGAACAAAAATCGTTATGGAATGCTTATGTGGACAAAAAGTTTGCCAAGTGGCTTTGGGTTCCATGCCAGTTAGGTAGGTTGTCTTATGTGTTATCATCCTCCATTTTCTTTTGGTTTTCCTTTATTTGTTATCTCATTAATTCAGCCTTCTCCCGTCGATTTTTATTTTTTACCACGTCAATATTAATGCTAATCTGAAATTTAAACATCAACTTACCAATGCTTGTTTCTCGAATTTTCAGACAAAACTTCTTATTCTACTCGTTCAACAATTTTTTTTTTCTTTTTTATCTTTATCGTCTATAAAACAGCTACTAGAGTTGTTTAGAAATTTTCACACTTAAAATCCTAAACTTTTTGGTAAATATTTAAGAACTAGAAAAAGAAAGAATTTGAGAGAAAATTTTTCATTGAAGTAATGAGGATTAATATTTCTTATTTCTTATTAATTTTTACAAATATATTTGCCTATTTATATAACACTTATCTCAATCTCATTGACAATGGACAATAGGTTTCTAAGTAAAATTTTATTAAGAAGAGAATTTTAACTTAATTCATTTTAGAAATTAGATAATGCATATTTGAATGTATTAATAAGTTTGGGTCCACTTGACCTGATCCATTTTTCAACATCTCTTACTTAGATACATTAGACATCAATGTATGCTTTCTTTCAAAGAGCTTTTAGTTAAAACTACTTTTCATACAAGAATGGAGTATTTGACAAGATGAGAAAGAACAAACTCAAGAGTGTTATATCAAGTCACCATGAAATTAATATAAAATTAGTATTTATTAAAGATGATAATAGTTTGAATCGGATGTGATTCGATTTAATTTTTGTAAATAATGTATAAAATTATGAATTTTAAAAATCCAATCCGAATAAGACTTTTATACAATCTGATTTGATCCGAATCAAATTTTATCAATTTGGTTTAGTTCATCAATTTTTAAATTTTAATTTTTTATATTATTCTAATATATTTTTAACATATTAAAATAGATTTAGGTATAAAATAATTATTTTTATTTTATAAAAATTTAAAATATATAAGTTAATAAAAATATATAATTTGGTTAGATTTTTTTTTTCACTTCTTGATCTGAAATCCTTTTTGAATCTAATATATACATTTAATATCAAACCAAACATTATGGTTTCAAATTAATTTTCGATTTTCTCAATTTTTTTCTCAATCCTACTCTTTTTTTTTTTTTAACTCAACCCTACTCTTTATATACCTCATCTTGCACCCTAAACTAATTATCCGCATTAAAATCAAATACCTTTGATCCTTCATATATAATATATAATAGAGTTATATTTGATATCTCATCCAATGTACTTGTACTCATAGATATCATCCAATGTACTTATACCCACATTATATCAAACGGTTAGTTTGACATAACTATTCTGGAAATGAATCACAAAACATAAATATGGAATCAATTAGTTTTTTCTTAGCCACTTATACCAATTCGCTTAAACTTAATTACTTTCTTAATCATGCTTCGATAGTCCAAATCAATCATGACTATGAGATACATGCTAAAGTAACAACATCAAGCCTTCATTTCATGATATAGTTCTAAGTCACGGGATACAATATAGATTTAAAATCTAAAAGGTCATAAAGTGACAAGTAGGTATTCATTTAGTCACTCTCCCAACATTGGTTGAAATAGCATGTATAGTATAACATGTATGTTATGATAAAACTCCCACTAATACCATGCACAAAGAAATCTTGGCTTAGCTGTTATTAAATCACTTAATCTTAAAAATCTTAAAAAATTATATAATTGCAGTATACTCTTTAAACGAAACCATTTCACATGTATGGGCATCTTATGTTGAAATTAGATGGCCAAATGCTTTTGGTATCTTATTTATGGTTATACATTGGATTTACAATAGAATGATTTAATTTGTAAGAAATTTGAGTTATTATCATGCCTTTCAAATGTACAACTTTTCACCATCATGTAAATCATGCAATTGTCCTATTAGGATATGTTGTCAATAGTTGTACATTTAGTTATGTGTAAATATGCTTGTACTCTCTTATGATATAAATATTCATGCCATAACCTTAAATGGGATATAGTAGAACATTTTTTTTTTACAGATTTGTTTCATGGTATCAGAGCAATGGTCTTCGCTCTTTCTTCATCTTCAATTCTAATCCAAATATTTATTTTCTTCTTAAATTTAAAAACAATTATTTTCTATATTATACTTCAACAACTTTTTTTATAATATATTATGTCTTAAACCTTTTAATGGCTTCCAACAACCAATCCTCTTTTGTATCGTCCTTTTCATTCCCTAATATTTCTAGCCTTATCTCTATTAAGTTGAACTAAAAAAATTATTTACTTTGGCATGATCAAGTAACACCTTTTTTATTATATTGTGATTTAATGGGGCATGTTGATGGCACCATTGTATCTCTTCCTAAAATAATAACCAAAGATAATGAAACCACATCCAGTTCTACATATATAAAGTGGATGAAGAAGGATCAATTTGTTCTTTCTTGTCTGAAGGCAACATTATCACCAATTGCACAAGTATAGGTCCTGAGTTTGTCATCTTCTCACCAAATTTGGATAACTTTAGAAATTATTTTTCATCAACAATGTCAAGTAAAGTTAGATCAATTACATAATGAGTTGCAGAGTTTGAGTAAAAAAACTATGTCTATTGAAGAATATCTTGCCAAGATCAAATTTATTTCTAATAATTTAGTAGCCATAAATCATCCTATCTCTAATTTAGAATCGGTCACCCATACTTTAAATAGACTGCCAAATACCATTGAAAATCAACCAATTGTCTTTACTATTAAAAATAGAGAGAATCCCATTTCCCTTAATGATTTGAAAGCACGGTTTGTAGTTCATGAGCAGTGTTCGAAAAGAATGCAGGTATTGTCATCACAACCTATGAATGCCATTGTTAGTTCCCATGAGACAACCATGGTTGCTCATCCAAACAGTCGAGGTCAGCATTTCAATAATCCTCACTGTGATTTAAAGTGCACTGGATAGATTAATCAAAAGTATGATCATCGTGATTCTCGATTTTTTCATCACACAAATCATATGCCTCAATGAGATGTACAATTAAATAACCAAGATAGCAGGAACTTTTCATATTCTCAACATACAAACCGTGCCATAAAATGTTAAATTTGTCACCAATTCAACTATACTATTGTAACATGTCAATACCATTACAATAAATTTAATTATAGTCTGAGTAATTCTTTTGTTAATCTTCATCTTTCTACTACTACTTCAAATGATACTCTACTTAATGCTTCAATGGATAATGACAATAATGCCTATTGTCTGGCAGATTCAGGTGCTACAAGTCACATGATTTCCAATCCATCGTTGGTACATCAGTCCACTCCTTACACTGTAATAAAAATGTTTTTATTGGTGATGGTAACTCTTTAAACATCACTTGTGTTGGTGATTCTGCTAGATTTCTTGGTTTTACAAAATAGCATTGAAAAATATTATATTTGTTCAAGCATTAAAGGAAAATTTATTATCTATTGCTAAGCTAACTAGAGACAATAGCTATGGTTTTTATTCTTTTCCTTGGAGTTTTGTTATCACTACAAGAAATTTTTTATATACTGATGTTTGATTATACTCACGGTTAAATTGCATTAGTAAAAAAGATTTATGCTAATGCTTTTTAATATCATCAGAATATACCATATCTTTACCAACACTTTATACAACCATTGATATAGATAAATTTTTTCTAACGGTATATAACTATCCGTCAGTATAAGTATGCTATATACTGATACTTATTTATATTGACGGTCAAATTATGTAAGTAAAAAGTATCTATATTGACAAATATTTGTTATTGTCAATATAGACAGTGCTTATACCAACACTTTATATAACTATCAGTATAGGTAAACTTTTTTTAACGGTATATAAATATTCATCAGTATAAATATGTTATATATTGATAGTTATAATAATCGTTAGTGTAAGCTCAAAAAAATATTTATTCTTAATTTTTTTAAAAAAATATTAATTCATAATATTTACCTTAAATAAAAATTTTCAAAAACTATAATTGGATAAAAACTATAATTATTAATAAATAAAATTTGTAACTTAATTAATTTTAAATGATAATAAGTTTTAAATAAATTTGTAAGCATTATATTAATTAATAAATTTATAATTAAATATTAGACAAAAAATTTTTAATTAAATATTATATTAATTTGGTTTCAATTAATATTTCAGTTTTAATATGGTTTCATAAAATTTTAAAATCATTCTAGATCAAAAGTCAAATTATAAATAATCTACATAGTAGTATTTATATTCATATAAATGTTTTTCTATGTTATTTGTAAAGGTTTTTTCATAAAATAATATTTATCATTCATTGTTTTAAC